GTATAGTCACTCACGCATTTCAAATCTCTCAGGTTGGTAACTATGCAATTACGATAAGTCCGAAAACGGATACTTATAACATTAAGAAACAAATTATTTAAATTGCAGTCGATTTATAGGCACACATATGCTAAGGATTCCGTATTACGAATTGTCCGATCCTAATTTTAGGTGCAATGCCTTTCACAAGACAAACATACCCACATGATGTCTCACACAAACTAAAACTCAATATAATGTTTAGAGAGTTGAGTTTTGGTTATGACAAAAAAAGTAAATCCTTGCCGAGCCAATAGGGCTCATAGGGCTGGAGCTTATGTATTATCCTCAGTTTAGCGTGAAGCTACGAAAGCCCATTAGTGCCAATAAAGTATATGTTCATTAATCCCTAATAACGAATTACTAATTCGTAATTACGGATTACTAATCCGTAATTACGAATTAGTTAATTCGTAATTACGGATTAATAATTCGTAATTACGAATTAGTAATCCGTAATAACGAATTACTAATTCGTTATTACGGATTATATTCAGCTGAGAATCGCAACCTCGTTGAACACTAGCCAGGGTGCAGTAGGAAATTAGCGGGGAAAAAAGTAAAGAAAAATATATTTTTGGTTTTTCTGAATCAATATATCATATAGTGTCTCAGAAAAAAAATTCTCATTCTTAGAGCTTGGGAAATTTTTTTTATAGCACTTTGAAATTTTGACATAAAATATCCTTTTTTGGATTAATTAAGATGGGGGTAGGGGAAATAAATTATGTTTTTAGTCACTTTTACATATGATATGTATATCAAATGTAACAAGAACTTGACTGAATAGTTACTCTTCAATCTCGTTAAAAAATTTAATCGGAATAATGACGTCATCAAAAAAATCCAAGATGATGGCCATTTTGGCTGTAAAAACTTTTTTTTTAATGTAATATCAATTTATTATTCCCAGCCGATGTGTGTGTATCATCTTAATGATTATTATCAGGATAACGACGGCGATTATAAGATTATAGTAATAGTATGAGATACATAAAATAATCAATACCAATAATAATAATATGCGCTAAGTCGGACTTAAGGGGAATATCTTTTGTGTTATTTTCCTCTTTATAACGTCATGTATTTTTCCCTTAACGTCGGTTTTAGTAACATAACGATTAAAAATAATAACAACAACAATAACAATAATAATAATAACAATAAAATAAATAATAATAATAATAATAATGTAGGAAAATATAAATTGAGAAGAAAAATGTAATATTTATACCGTTGTGATGGCATCCGAAAGATTGAAAACAGTGGTAAAATGTGATGTAGCATAGTCTGTTTCAGTACTTGACTTTGATGAATACGGAACCTATCAAATAAAGAGTCGGATGCATATAAATGACAGAATATACATTTAAGTTAAAGAGGAATACACCTTTCATTAACCAGACGCAGTTAATAAACAAAATATTATAAATGATTAGTGCTGCTTCTTTGCTGTTTGAGTTAGTTTGAGCTTTTTTACGAGTGTGTTCTTTTTCTAATTAATATTGCCTAGACAGCGTCGCCCATGTCAACTGTACACTAGCCAAAAAAATCGTCATCGTTTTAAATATTTCAAAATTATGAGTGCAACAAATATTCTCCACAGTGGTGGATTCATTGGGGACCTCGCCTCACCCTCCAACCTATTTTATTTTTAAATTATAAGAAATGGAGAGAAAAAATAATATTCAAATTTAAGACTGAGGGTGCCATTTTTGGCCATCTTGAGGTGCCATAATCATAAATTTTCTTACCTCAGCCTCATCCATGATGGGCTGAGGTAGTATTACTAGTAATGGTAATTTCAATGCATATTAATGTTATGTGCTACTCACTTCATTTCGAAGATGATGTCTTAAAAATGGTCGAAGACGTGGAATTCCGCCACACGAAATGCGCTTTCCTAACCAAACTCAAGCAGGACTCAATCACCATCAACAAAGCGGACAAGCTCATCATCCCCGCCGACAAAACTACAAACTTCTACAAAGTAACTAAAGAAGCAGGGGCGGATTTGGGGGCGGGGGCGGCCCGGTCCCGGCCCCTCCTTTTGGGAGGTAAAAAAGAAAAAAAAAAAAAAAAAAAAAAAAAAAGGAAAAAAAAAAAA